ACTATTCACTTCAGACTGGTACGGCTGATTCCAGCCGTATATCGGCTGAAATCAGCCGTATATCGGGTGGCTTCGGCTGCCTTCGGGTCGGCCGAACATGCTCGGCATGTTCGGCCGACCCAAAGTGCATAAGGAGTTCGACTCAGCAGATCCGACATCAACGGCAGGCTACTCGCTGCTGTTCGGTCTATTCTTATAGATACCGAAAAGCAGTGAGTGAATAGCCGAGCTATAGCTGAGCGGCATTCGGCTTGGCTGTTCTGCTCAGTCCCACAGAGGGACCGAGCAGAACAGAAAAAAATAGCCCAGCTGTCAGAAGCAGGCTGTCGGCTGGCCAATATGCCTTTGGCTCGACTGAGCAGCTCGGTCCACTTCGGGAGCTGTACGGGCTATAGGGAATAGCCCGTACAGCAGCCCTTCGGTTATACTGAACCAAATGGGTGCTGGGGCCGAAGCTGGCCAAAGGATCAGCCGAAGCTATAGCTAGATCCTTTGGCTGCTTCGTGAATAGACCCCACAGTCTTTATGTGTGCTACTTTATGTGGTAGCAATTTTCATGTACCATTTGCCTGCACGTATTGCTCTATGAAGTACTTATCGTATTCTATAGTTTGCGTTCACCGAGTATAGGATTAGGTAGTCCCTACTTTATTGACATTTAACCCCTTCGTGACTGATGACGTACAGTGTACGTCGCCAGCATCGGGGCTGTTTAAACAGACTCCCGGTGACTTTTGCCGCCGGGACTCTGTTTAAACTTGTAGAGCCGACTGTCGGCTTTACAACAGAAGCGATCCTGGCGACTTACCTGTCGCCAGATAATAAGGAGTTGCGCTAATATTGTGCAACATAAAAATTTGCAACTACCACCATTTTATTCTATAGGGTCTTGGCATTCAGAAAATATATAATGTTGGGGGGGTTTTAAGTAATTTTCAGGCCTAAAATGTGGAATATAACATGGGTACAAAAAATGAAAAAAAGGCCTCAGTCATGAAGGGGTTAATATTGAAAATATTTAGAAGGCTACTTGCAGACAGACTAGATTTCATCACAACCCCTTTGATATCATCAGACAAAACAGGTTTTATTCAACCACACTGATAATATCAGATCAGTAACCAATATTATTTAAGATGTCAATATATATAACTGCAAAATACACAAGGCATTTATTAGTATTACATGAACCTATTTGAACATTCTATTTAAAAATCTGTCTTCAAAACATGATTTTTAAATGATTTCCAAGCTTTATACCATTCACATAAAACAAGAATCAGTCCTTTAGGCTAGAATTCAGACTTTTTCATCCTAGGTAGGGGAATCCTCCAAGGATGTCCCCTATTTCCAGTCCTCTTAGCACTCACCATGGAGCCCTTGGCTATTGCTTTAAAATATAATGTTAATAAGAAGAGCTGCCTTAAAGGGAATGCTGAACTTAAACTCAGTATATATGCAGATAATGTCTCATTGTTTCTGGTCTCACCCTATGATATCACTCTCTACCCTGAATTGTTCTATGGCTAGTCAAGCCTGGGGGTAAACTTGACTAGACTAAATCTATGGCAATGCCCAATAATCTTTCTCCCCTTTTTATGTAACACACTAAAAGCAAACTTTCAATTTATGTGGTTGTTACAAACTATCCCATATTCGGGAGTATTTGTAACTCCCACATTGCAATCTCTCTATCAAAGTAACTATCTTCTGATATCTTTTTAAATAAAAAAAATCTGCAACTTTAGTCCTTCTATTATATATCCTTTCTAGGTAGAGTTACAGCCATAAGATTGTCCATTCTCATAAAGCTATTATTTATTTTAGAGTCCCACCATTATACATCCCAAAATCTACCAAATACTGTCCTTACACAGAGATCAAGTTTAGTAAATAAAAAACGTATATATAACAAGCACCTATGTTATTAATTACCTCAACATTCAGACAACTTTGGTCTTCCAAACCTGTGGCTCTATTATCTTGAGGCTAGATTGGCCTAAACAGTGTAATGGCACACCTTCAGGCTTGATGTACCATGGATTCATTCAAATTTCCATCTATACTACTTTATCACCTTTTGGTGCTGTTATGGTTTGAATCAATACAATTTAAAGACCTCAACTCAAAGAACATGATCATAGCACAATCTCTTCACCTTTGGTGGATATATCAGAAAAAAAGCTTGACCTCTGCAGCCTCACTTCTGATATAGGAGATCCCTTCCAGAGCAGACTTGAGTTCCCATGGTGGATTTATGGCCCCCTGGCAACTTTGAAAGATCTCTAAAGTGATTAAGATTAAATTACACTCACACAACAACGAGAGATCCAAGAACCCAGTACACCAAAACTGCAACTTCCAGGCAATAGCAAACAGCCAAAATATTCATAAGGTTGAAGAACAACATGTCAAATGCATACCATAGATTTTTATAGTCTTTACAACCTAGTTTGAAGAGCCTTTACCAAAGAAACATAGATTGCTTAACATTAGCCTGAAAAGTCTTCCTCTCCCACAAAGAGCAGACACAAATACATGAAAAAAACTTTCTCTGATCACTGTCTACTAACAGTGATTAGCAGGTGGGAACCAGTGTTACCCAATTATGAGTGCTTTTACTGTGATCACAGCTGTATGAAAGCATTTACTATGACATAAACACCTCCGTGCCAGCAAATGAATGGCCATAAAAGCATGCACATGATTACATGGAGGTCCATGCAACTTACAATGTACCAGTATAAACCTATCTATGTGTGTACATCCACATGCAGTAATTAAAAGGGTTAACCTGCTTAAGGTTTGGACAAATGCTGATTGTCAAATTTTTTAGATAGAAATACATTATTTTTTACTTTTTTCTGTAATTTAGTTCATGAAACTACAAGCAATCTCTGACATACTTTGACATAAATAGCCTTGGAGCAAGCTAACCCAATCATTTTCTAATTGTGATGCCATACAAACTCTGTACATAGGTCATTATGGTGATTATTTTCAAAAAGTATGTCTTTGTTTATAAGCAAAAAAAAACAACTTTGTTTGACATGACAGTACCTGCAAAAAGATGCAATTTGTTTATGTGACACAAAATTGCATTCTTTCCAAAGACAAACATTTGCCTCACAGAATTAGCATGTGAGAAGGCTCCAGGCTGCTACTGTTTTGGCAGTGAGTCATATGCAGTGATCATTTTAATGAGAGACAAAGCACTAGAAACAAAAAAGAAAACAGGAGAAATACTATTCTAACAATGCTGCAAGTGTGTTTTTTTTCAACTGCATTAACTTTCACGCAGGAAAAGTCACACTAGCCTAAGGGTGGCATTAAAACTCTGAATCTGAATTGGAGCAAAATGAATTTTTTAAGCTACTAATCGGGTAGCAGTGGGTACATCTCATAAGCTACATTTTTCATTTGTATTATTCAAAAATGTTTTGAGTCCAGTTATTTAGGATGCAAGGAATATTAGAACGCTCCATTAAATGTCTGGCTTACTATCTTACATCTTTATCTTTAGCTCCACGGCAATAAAACAACGCTTTGTTACACACCACTGGAGAGCATAAACATGTTTTGAAATGCATACATGCATTATAAACATTTTGTGTGCACTGCATAAAATATTGTATTGAGTATACTAGAACTTAAAACATAAAATACTGTTAAAATGTATACATATATATACACACACACACACACATACACGGGTTGATTTACAAAAGGCAAATATACTGTTCACTTTGCAAGGGAATTTAGGGTAAGTTTCCCTTCGCTTGGTATATGTGGTGATATTTCATTTTGCAGAGAAAACCCAAATATGTGCAAGGAAAATGTAAAAAACAGCATTTTTGCTTGCGCATGATTGGATGATGGAAGTCAGCAGAACTTCACTTCATTCACTAAGCTAAGCGAAAGTTCCCCTGCAAAGTGCAAATTCCCTTGCAAAGTGAACAGCCTATGTGCCTTTAGTAAATCAACACCATGACATCTGTGTAAGCTACCGTGTTTCCCCGAAAATAAGACACTGTCTTATATTTTTTTTTCAACGAAAAAAGACACTAGGTCTTATTTTCGGGGGATGTCTTATATTTACCTGGCTGCAGCAGTCCGCTCTCTGCTGTGATGCCATCCACTTCGACCCCATTGGCTATGCCTTGCTGTGCCTGCTGGGAAATGTAGTCTTCAGCGGCAGGCGAGGCAGACAGGTGGGTGTGTGTGCGTGCGTGCGTGTGGGGGGGAGGGAGTGAGCTGCGGCCGGTCTTCACATGTAAAATTATATTATATGTGCCGCTACCCCGAAAGTAAGACCTAGCGGATCTCTGCAATATAAGACCTACCACCGAACTAGGTCTTATTTTCGGGGTAGGTCTTATATTACAGAAATCCCTGAAGATAGCGCTAGGTCTTATTTTCGGGGTAGGTATTACTTCCAGGGAAAAGCGGTATTACTTCAAAAGGCTATGTGCAATTATACTGGCTTTAGAAATCCAAAGTAGGGGCTTGATACTGCACAAATGACAATTGCAAGCACTGACAATGTCACCTATGAAATCATTGAAGAATAGCTAAAGAAATATAGTTAAGCAACTCTGGACCTTTACTTTAAAATGCTAAGACCCCATGGCATACCCTCAGTAAAAACAGCAATATTACCTATCATATAAACAAATACATATTCCCCAGAATTTTAGAGTCCTGTAAGTAAGAAATATCTAACAGCTAGCATGTTCAGAAGAACACGTAAGCCATGGTGGGTCTATAATACTCTTGTGACAGGTTCCGTTTTAAAGTTACAGCTGGGCCTACCCAAGGTGCCTGCTCTCTTTCTAAACCACAGTACTAAATTTTTTCAACACAAATTCAAAAAGTGTGTAAGAAAATCAGGTAAGAAACACAGCTACCATCTCACCATTATATATATTATTAATACAGCTGTGATGTTTTAAGCAGTTACACAAAAAAGCACCAAAAATAAAAAAAAAAGAGAATCTTACCATCTACACAGGCTGGCCTTGCTCTTGTTGTGCCGGCAATCTGTCCTTTTCTACATGCACAGCGAGCTGTTTGTCGGGCTATAGTCCTTCGAGGCTGACTGCTATCTCTGTCGTATGTAACAACCTCACACGTACCTGCAGCCAGTTGACCTGGAAAAAGAGGCAGCAACAGGTAGCAATGTCAGTGAATGCACTACAAGCAATCAATTATAGGTAAACAGAGTGAGACCCAATGCAGCAAAAGCCACTTCTCTACAAATGGGAAATAAGCTGGAGGATGTAATCAAACTGAGATGACATATAATTTTTCTCAGAGCTGGACATGTCAAAACCCAGCAAAGTGATGCTGTCAAGAAAATTGTTATTGGCCTACAGAAGGAGAGCTGGGTCAATCAGGTCAGAGTTACTTTGATGTAGTTGAGAACGCAAGTAAAGGGAGATATGTTTTTTTAAACTAAGGGTATATTGTTTCATTTAGCAAATAATAAAAGCTATTTGATATTTATATTTTATTAAAAAAATCTGCTAGTAGGAGATGCAGTTTATAAATAGATATGCCATTGACTGTAAGAATTATGCAAAAAGCTTTTGTTTTCTGCCCAGAATGTGTGCGTTAACATGCATTGCCTATACTTTCAAATGCTATTGTAAATGTGAATTATTATCTACCCAGGTGTGAAATTTATAAATTATGCAGTAGCTAATGAAGGTGAAAAACTGTTGTTAATGAGGCAACTGCTATTATTTATAACCTCTGCTGGAGACGTAATGCAATTGTTTTTTAAACTTTCTTCAGATACATGGAAGTTGTAACTGTGTAAGAGTTTAACGTTGCTTCCTCTGTTTAATGTAAACCTGTCACAAACCTGGGCAATTAAAACTGAGCATGAAAAATTGCATACATACAAGTTATCTAAAAATCACATGTAAAAACAATAGGCTGAACCACTGATATATACAAAAATAACTACCCAGCACAAAAATATGAGAGCTATCCCTGTAAGCAATGAGCCAACAAGCCTGTCATCTCCTTCTATATTAATATAAACCCTTATGACCTTTAGCAAAAATAAAATAGTTCACCCCACTCATAGCACAGGTAAATTGGCTGTAACATGTTCTTACATTGAAACCACAAAGGTTGTATTTGTAGGAAATGATAAATTAACTATTACAGCATTATAATCTGTAATAATTCCATATTTCTCTTGTACTGTCCCAATAAAATGTCGACCAATACTCCCAGGAAGCAAACCACTAATGCGATTTTCCAAAAACAAGAGGACTTGGCAAAGTAAGCTACAATATCATTGTGGATGTATTTTAATCATTTTTATTGGACTAGTAAATGGAAAGGGAGTGTCATTTTTTTCATTAAGTTTAATATTAAAAAGTGGTGTTTGTCATTTTAATTCTTTAAACTTTCAAGAGTTGGGTGAACTTGGTAGGGGACAGAGAAATTAAAATTTTGCTTATAATTATTACCTCATCCTTAGCAATAAATGCAGCAGGCTCTAATATATTGAGAGGGATGCTTCTTATTTAAGCATTACCTCAAATTCTGTACACACTCCTATTGATAAGAAAGGAGTCAAACAGCTGTCAGCTGTTACTATAAGGATACCAGTTTGTATTACTTGCATGCTGGGCTGGTATTGGTGTGGGGTCAATAAAATTTAAAAAAATCTATAATATGACAGGAGTAATTATGGACATTAATAATACTAGCTTTTCACCTATATGTGCCACAATAAAAAAATGTTTACATAGCATGGGAAAAAGGTCTTTGATTCATCAAATCATATTATCATACAGCATTGCTATGTTAATAACACTGGAAGGAAAAGGCATATGTTAACGCACTTTAGGGCAGCAGGCCCATGGTATTATTACCCACAGTTCCTTCAAAAGTCAAATCAAAAATAGACTTTTGTTGAGCCGGCTGGTGCTAAGAGGGTCATCCACAGCTCAAAGTTTAGTCAATTCAGCAAGAACTGGCCAAACTTCAAGTAGCATATGGCCAGATGTATTGCTAAGTTATGAATTATGTGAATTATTGTAAGAGCAGAAAATTAAATGATTTAAAAGAATGACACAACCTCCTCCACCTTTGCCAGAGATGGCCTTAAAATGTATGTAAAGCAAGAAAGAAAACATTTTGGCCTCTAGTTTTAGATTGGGGAAGGAGTCTGGCTTGTACAGCTATCTGAGGCCCCATTAGATGGATTTACCCTCACTTCCTGCCCTGGTGACAAGAGTTGCACTAGACAAAAAGTGATAGTAAACCTGAAAGAAGGACAAACACTGAAATATGCATATGAGAAGGTTTTTTTTCCTTTCCCCTACTCTACTAAAGAAAAGCATTTTTTTTCTTCTTTCTATCCCATCCCCACTCCATCCAAAACTAATACATTAGACATACACTTTAATGACAGATCATTTAAAAATAATGCTTGTAAAGTTGTCAAATGTTTTGATTAATTTAACTATAACATTCCATTGTTCAAAAATAGTTTTATGCATTGTGCTTTGTACCAGAACTAAAAGCTAATAATAACTACGAACTGGCAACTGTTAGGTTACGCTTTTTATGTTTTTGCAAATGCCACACAGAGATGTCAGCTTGGCATAATGTCAAAACTGAGAATCCGCAGCTTCTCATATATTCTGTAATGGAAAAAAATAAACAACAGCATCAGAAAGGAAACAAAGATACAAAATTAAATATGAGCTAGAATCACTCATATATTATGATGTATGCTTTTTAGATTGAAACCAATCAAAGAAAATGATATACGCTACACTAACACTTCCATTACAGCTGAGAGCATCCCGGTCCTGGATGTGAAGTATATGTGAGTTTCAGCACTTGTCACTGAAAGTTTGGAACCAGCTTTTAAGTAGGTCATAAAATAAAGCTGCATCTATTTTACATGTCATTATCTTTGTTGTTGTGCCTTTCAGTTAAGAATTTTCACCAGCATTTGTGAAGCTGTTAAACTGCAAATTAAACATTAAAGTGTTATATGATCATGTACTTGAACTATTCAAGTGCCAGAGCATCATGCAAAGGTACCTTTAATATTCATAAGCTGAGAATTCTATTTAAGATGCTGCCTCAATGCATTTTATTCTGCCTTAATTTCATTTGTTTACTATTTAAAAAAGTGTATTGTATGCACATGAGATAAAATAGCCCTGTAAATAGGTAAACATATTGAACAATGTGTTCACTTTGGTATAACTTTCTTCTACATTGATATAACACATTAATGTTTAATCGGTAAGGCAAAAGGCAAACTCCAAATCAAAGTTAGCCCTAGCCAACAATCAAAACTATTTTTTTTTTCAGTAGATATGTTGTTGGAGCCAAGAGCTCAGCGTGGCACTTTTGGCACCAAAAACAATTAAAGATGTGACAATACTGTGCTGATATCTGTCAAGACAATGGTACTGAACTAGATCTGTATATATAGATATATATAGTCCTGAATAAGTAGTGATCTAATCTATTTGTGTGAAATGATATTCTTGACAATGGTCCAAAGTAAAAAAAAAAAAAGACATCCAGATATTTGAGAGTAAACTAAGGTGATCAACAAGCACTTACTAACAAAACTCACTTCATAAAAAAAAAGCCTGCTGGCTAAAAAAGAAAACATTTTGTCCATATCTTGCACATACAGGATGCTATACACACCTGTACATTTCAAATAAACTGACTGCAACACAACCAGATAAAGAGGTCATTCACTGCATGATCTATGCATATTATATAGACCAATCATAATATACAATTACAATGCACCAGTAAGAAATAGCACCAGGCACTAAAAACCACCTATAATAGTGAATTACATCATATAATAATCAGAAATTGTGCTGCACATAAAACAACGTAATCTAAATTTCTTCCAAAATGCTTCTAGAGCATATACACACCTAAAACAATATATAATCATCCACCAAAACAATAAGTCCTTTGCTCCACTCTCCACCTGATAGCTCCACCCTACACGTTACGTCACTTCCTGACTTTTTCTGGGGCTTTGCCGAGCCCCAGACAAAGTCAGGAAGTGACCTAATGCCTAGGGCAGAGCTATTAGGTGCACAGTGAAGCGAAGGACACAGCTATATGGTCTGACCGCTCATCCAGCTGGATCACAATATTGGGCAGCGGAAGGGAGAATCCGGGACCGATTAGTACTGATGACTGTGCGTGTAGATGTTTTTTCACATGTGCGTAGTTTTTAATAAAGCATTTCATGGATTTCAATGGTTTTACACTAGGAGTTGTATACATTTCTATCTGTGAACATCTGCGATCATCTGATCTCTGCACTGTAATACTGTGGAAGGGAAGGAAGAAACAAACACTGGTGATTGACTTGGTGAATCTCTGAGCAATTAATTACCGATCTGGAGGTGAGTGCCTTTTCATAAGAGAGCACACAGTGGTGTCAAGTGGAGGCTAAGGAAGATTTAAAGACACAACACAGAGAGACTTTGTTTTTTACTATTAAGCACTTTATTATAAGTGTGTGGACTATACTCCAGCAAGAACACTTACAGCACTTCAAGGTATTATCACTCATATATATTGCATATATTGTTTAAGAGCACGTTAAGTGAAGTGGATGATTATGCATTGTTTTTACGTGTGTGTATATGCACTAGAAACACTTTGGAGGATAATTAGATTAAGTTATTTTATGTGCAGCACAATTTCTGATTATTATATAATCTATACATATGTCTGATAAAAAAAAGCAAGATAAAAATGACAAAATACACAACTGTGGCTTACAGCATACTTAGCGGTAAAGTTCACAGACTAGACATGTAAATAGCATGTGTTTGCATAACAGTAGTTACCTCTTTTTGCCCTGCTTCATTCAACTGTTTTGCTAGTTCATTTATTTATATTTAACCAATCACATTTAGGGCCACTCAATAAATAAAGGGTTTTATGCTATAGGTCTAAATGATAGGTTCACAGACAGTGGTATGCATACCTCAGTGGTAATGCTGATGATAAAGAAGAACACGTTTTAAAGTTCTCAAGTTTGAGTGAGGTAAGTGAAAATATGTACACTACAATTATCTCCAAATCCCTAATGGTAGAGACCATGTGTAAAAATCTGAGATCC